TTTGCATTGGGCCCCGTGTGATAACGTCCTTAGAGAAGGAGGAAATGAAGGGGTCATAAAACATATAGACATGCATCTGTCTTCCTAGAAGGATTCAGCATGCCCAACACAGAATGAGATTGGACTGAATGGTCCTTGGGTCTCTCTTCCGACTCTGTGATTCTAGGATTCGATGGAGTCCCCTCATGTAAGTGTTTGGCCATTTGTGCACAATGTGGCAAGGCCACAGTCTGTCCGAGCGTCCAGAAATTGAGCTATGCATACGGTGGCATGATGCAGGCACAAACGCACACAGGAAGGCAGGTGTACACCCTCAGGTGTGCTCCCAGTCTTGCCACCTTTCCATTCAAACGTACAGGGCTTGTACAGCACAATGTGTCACTCCACAGGGTGAGATTTGTTGCTATACAACCCCAATTTAGGATCTCAGCTGTTGTCTTCTATCAGCCATGGATTATCCATCTGTGACTTTTCAGAATTACAGTTTTAGCTTCCCCCCCATTCCCCCTTTGTAATAACATTTATTTCCAAAAATACTTCTCCAATTTTTAGTTCATTATCTTTGTGTTTTACAGTTGCCATAGCAGTAAAATTTATATTCAGCAGTGTCATTAAAAAAATTTCCAGCTACTAATAGAATTACTATTTTTGCTTCTGTCTACACCAACAATTCTTTTCCATGTTTAAAAATATGTCCTTACGACTTACTGTAAAGGATACCTGTAATAATTGAATGCCTGGAACTGTATAGATGCTTTTCTTGGAGGAAAAAAGTGGGCTTTCTCTTCCTTTTGGAGTAGGATTTGGGTCCTTCGACAGAGCTGTTGGTGGGTTGCATTTGCAAAAGATTGGTGAGGAGTTTCGTAACCGGGCTCCTCATTCCTCCATAAACATTTCTTTTATAATATAATCACACATCTATACTATATAACAGCTTGCTTTAAAGCCCACATTTAACCGTTTCACAGCTTTGTTGCATCCTGTTCACAGTTTGTGCATTATATAAAAAAGCTGCAAGGATGATATGGGAATGCTTCCTCTCTTTTAAGTTTCCATACTGCACCCTTTCCCTATCTATTTGTCATCAATAAAGCAATGATTTGTACTGGATATGATTTATTTTCACTGTATCCCTGGAGCTTAAGATGAGCAGGGCATGAATGGATCAGGCCCTCCAGGTCATTACAGATGCATCAGACGAAAGGCTCAGATCCCCCCACAGCTGTCTGTATGGGGTCCGAGTGACTCCCACCCAATCACCCCTCATCCTCTGATGGGATTTTAATGGGACTTTTGGGGTACCAAAGAGGAGGAGAGCCAGAGAGTCACTGTGGTGGACAGAGTTAGCGGGGTGTCATGGTTTGAGTGCTGGACTAGAACTCCAGGGGACCTGGGTTCAAATCCCTGTTCAGCCCCGGGAACCAACTTGGTGGCCTTGGGTAAGTCTCACTCTCTCAGCCTTAGAGGAAGGCAATGGAGGGTCTCCTTTGAGCAGATCCTGTCAAGAAAGCCCTAGGAGGGGTCTCCATAAGTTGAATCCCTCTTGAAGGCACAGAACAATAACAATAAACAAGAAGCCCTGCAGCATCCAAAAAACAGATCTGTCGAATGCAGTGACAATTATTGGCTCCGATGTTAGTACTTCTCCAGATTTTAGTCCAAGACTTGACAACCTTGTCAATGGGGAATACCTTTACCTTTACCTTTACCTTTACCTAAACATCTGTCTGCAGTGTTTTGCTATTGTTGCTAACTGCTGTTAAGTCACTTTAGACTTATGGTGACCCTGTTAATGAGAGATCTCCAAGATCCAACAACAAAGTTCTTATTATTCATGCCTTGATCCATTGGGAAAGATGGGTAATTTATTATTATTGTTGCTGTTGTTGCTGTGCTGCAAACTCAGGGCAGATGCAGTTTCCTTGATGAAGTCAATCCATCTGCCATGCACTCTCCCTCTTTTCTTGTGATATTTTCCTTGCCTAGCAAAAAACCTCATAGCTTTTCTTATGAGGCAAGCTCAGTTTCTACTGGTTGTTTTTGTCAAGCCTGAGAGACAACTCCTCCATTCATCAAATGCCCGCTCAGGTCTTGCAAACTCCAGGCAGCGGTCATGGATTCCTTGACGGAGTCCGTCCCCTTGGAACTCAATCTTCCACTTTCACCGCCCTTACCGTCTTTTCTAATGGGTCATGTCATCTCACGATACGGCCAAAGCATGACAACCTCACATTGATCCCTTTGGATTCTAGTGCGAGTTCAGGCTGGATTTGCTTTCAGACCCATTGATTTTTCTTTTTGGCAGACTCATAGAGTTGGAAGAGACCACAAGGGCCATCCAGTCCAACCTCCTGTCTGCAGAACTCTCCAAAGTTCTTGATGTTGGAAAATTTCAGCATTCTCTCTTCCCTCCCTGTCTGC